GCTAAATTCCAAACCAATTAATTCTAAGTGCTTAATTTTAAAAAAGTAAATTCTATTTAAAAAATAAATACACAAAAAATTATCCCTGTGAAAGAAGAGCGAGGACAAAAAGTTGAGCAGCCTTTAGTGAGAATTGCAGAGATAAAAATTGGGCTTTATGTTAAGCTGCTACAGAATCCAATGATAATACTGAAGTAACACAGAGGGTCACAAAACCATGAATCCTTAGTGGGGATTTTTAATTTTCTAATAATGAAGTTCTGGTCTCATCTACTCCCTCAATCACAAAGCAAAACATAAAAAAAAAGGTGAGCTCTGGGGTTGTTCAAAGTACAGTAGGCTCAGCATTCAAAACTGTTTCATAACATAATGCACACAGGCTTCTTTTCATTTGCCCTAAACATGGAAAGGGGAGGGAGTTACTTTGGTTACCAAAGAGAGTTTCTTTCCAAAGTCTCCACAGTGTCTCTAAACATTCCTTAAGCCAAAGAGCTGGGCCTGACTTACAACATTCTAATCTAGTTCTGTCCATCCTCACAGATGATGAGAGAGTTTGAATCTGATGCTTTTATTTAAATTAATCTCTATCAAATATCCCTTGGAAAATGTGAGGGTAAATGCCTCTTCTTTGTTTACACCCATCTCACGCTGTCCCTTGTAGCTCAGTGGGCCAGCTTACCTGTGATATATTCACTGTTTTACAATATAGTTGGCTTTATTATATTCAGCGGTACTTCAAGGAACCTACAGGTTTGAATCCTGTAAGGCACTGGCTTTAACAGTTAACATGAGGCTTAAGATCGGTAAACTTTGGCATAGATAAATTTAAGTAGCTCATTAGAAGGAACTGGAAATAGATGTAAGGGGGAGTCTTGGCCATATGACATCAACTGATCACAGAACAGGAGTTCAAACCAGCTTCTGGATGGAACATCCAACTGCAAATGTGCCATGACAACTAATTGATGTATATCATAATGGGTTAAAATCACTAGCCTATAAAAAAAGGACACCTTAGCACTGGTAAGGGGAGGAAACATAAATAAAGAATAACGGTAACCCCCTATTAAATATGAATTAGAAATGGTAACGTTAGCGTAACATATTATAAAAGCAGCATCCCAAGGCAGCAAAGGTAGAAATGTAGACCTTGGGAATGGCCAGAATGAAGGTGACGGTAATGAGGAAAATAAGGGCTAACATCCAGGATGTTCTGCAAGACATGGTGTAAATATGAATGTTCCGATCTGTATTATTTCTAGCTATGTTGCTGATTTAGTGTGTATAATAGTAAATAAATTACTCATTTGTAAATATAAAAAATAGTTTCTATAGTATGAATGTTGCATCTGTGCACACTGAGGTTCCCAGCTATAAAATAATTGAAATAATAATTTTACTGGGCCTGATCTTGGGACAAGGACTGGTCACCTTGTAATATGTGGTAATCTTCGGATCAGGCTACACCATTGTTCAGATTTTGGACTGGTCTGCCAACAAAGTAACATGATAGGTTAGGAAGGTTTTTAATGATTGGTAGATGATCCTAATATTGCTGCCCAGGTTCACATTTATAGAGAACCTGTATAAATGTGAATCAAGGATAGTCAGAAGTTAACTCTTCCACTTGGAGCTGCAGCTGGCTCCATCAGTTGGCTAAAACATGGCAAAAGAAGGACAATTGTTGAAAATCTCCTGAAATGACCAACAAGAATCCCCAGGAGTGTGATGTCACTTGTAAAGGCCAGAGTTAGTTATGGGCCCTTAGCTCCTTGTTCGAGGGCTCAACACTTTGCAGGAGCAAACCCTCGAACACATTACTTACATCTGCAAACCAGATGTACATTCTAAAATACAAGGCTGATGTAGAGACCTGAACTGATTATTCAGTTAGGGTTGTGTACACTTCACAGTTTAAAGCGCTGCTGCAGCAGTGCATTAAACTGAAAGTGTAGCCATGACACAAACACTGGGAGAGAGTTCTCCCAGCATTCTTTGTAAACTATGTCTGTGAGAGGTGCACTGTAGCGCTGGTTCACACTGGCACTTTACAGCGCTATAACTTGTGCACTCCCGGTATGTTTTTTCACATCCCTGAGCCAGAAAGTTATAGCGCTGAAAGTGCCAATATAAACTAGGCCTAAGTGTCTGTTTCCCTAATACCAGATTACAGAAGTTAACCTTGCTATGGTAAGGAAATATGCCCATTGTGGATAGCTTTGCAAATTATTTGAAGGAACACTAATAGGAAATCATTACACTACATTTATTACTTTGTTAAGTGCAATATGCTTGGCGCTGTACTAAACAAAATCCAGAGAGCTCCTGCCACAAAACACTTTCAATTTAAGCATTATAAAGGACATAATTCTCAAGGTACTATCATTTCTCTCACTTGAAAAGTTATCTATCTGTGTATTTTCTGAAACCTTTTATTCCATTTTTTAAAAAGGATTCAACTATGGAATCACATTTTGTCAAAGTGCTCTTGATCTGCATGTTTCTTCCCCCTCTTAAATGAGTTGTTAGTGGGCACTGAAGCATCTGTTCAACCTAGAATACGTTAACAAAATATATATAAAGCTAACTTGTGACATGCACTTTAAGAAACGGTTACTCTGCATGTTTCCCAGCTTCTAGCTCCTTGATGCTCTCTGCCATGCTGTAGGTGGCATCCAATCAGAGAGACCGCCACTGAGGGCCAGGGAGAAGGGCTGCAGTTTTTTTATTTTATATTCCAGTTAAGTACAGGGAATGTAAGGCACTAAGGTGTGTATAGCACGAATAATGAGTTGTACTAATTCACAGAAATTCATTTTTTGCCATCACACACTGCTCCTTTTTCTATAGACCAACACTTTGAAAGTTCGTTTTTATATGTCATTTACTTCCCTGGGGTGTAATGCTTCCGAAAAATATTGCCATCTTTTAGGCTTTGATAGAAAATTATTTATGTTAAAGCAGATTCATTATTCTGGACACACTGGAAGTTGAAGGTTCTTTTTCTTTTTCTTTTTTAATTAAGGTGATTTCAAAGATACACATTTGGAACATACAGAAAAGACCAACATTGTCAGCAGACGCTGAACCTCACACATGAGTTTTCTGAGCACAGAAGGGATATCAGGAGGTTTATTAAATGAGGGAACGCTATTCTCAATTGGACGGGTCACTTGATTTTAAAGCACAAAAGGAAAATTAAGATAACGAGGTTGCTGTAAGCAGTTACCACATGGAATCCCAAAGAAAACAAAAATCTGATCTTTGTAGTGTAAAAAAAAATTGCAGTAGCAATTAAAATCACATAGAAAATATGATTGTTGGGGAAAGCCTGACAACTGACATCAAGAGGTTAACTTTTCTATTCTTTTTAATCACTAACTAGTTCTGTCATCTTTCGGTTCAGCGCAAAACCTCCCCAGAGAAGCGCCTCCATTCTTTGAATGTCCATAAGGCAATTAGGTTTTACATTTTTAAAACTGAAGGGTTTTACAGGATGAGCCAATTTATATGTTTCCATAATAAGAAAAGACTCAGGGCTACTGAAGGATCTATTACAAAATGGCTTAGGTGGTGCATTATTGAATCATACAAAGCCAAGGGGCTTCCAGGCCCCAGAGTCTGTAACAATCATTTTGTGGGAACTACCTGGGCAGAATACAGAACAGTTTCATTTTTGGAAACCTGTAAAGAAGCCATTTGCTATTTGGAGTTCCTTGAACATGTGCAGTACAAAGTGCTATAAATCACAGGGTCAGGCTCTAGCACAGGCTGCGCTGGATAGAAGGGTGCAGCAATAGCAGTGGGGTAGTTAGGTTTTTTCGTTCCTGAACCTTTTTATTGTCTTAATAATGCTGGTCAAGTCCCGGTCATAGAAACAGTTGGGTGAATATAGCTGTGAGCAAAAATGGGTGATAGCTTTCAAAATGGAAAATTGCAACAGCTATATCTACCAATTAAACTGTTCTGTGAACAAATCTGATGATTAACTGGATATGTAATTAAGCCTTTATTATTAGTCTAATTGGATGGTTAGGGGAATTATTAAGGCTGTTAAGATTCTGTGCAGCAAGCTGGCTGTGCAGTACAGGCAATATGAAATTTAGCTCATTATTAGCAGGGCCAGGTGAACATGTGAATGGAAATTCGAGCCAGCCACACCCAACCCTTTCAAACCGAACCCAAATGAACCTGAATAGAGTTCAGTTCAGCAGAGACTGTTATGATATTCTACTGGTTGACCAAGTGAAGACTTATCACAGGGAGGCAAACTAAAGGGAGGAGATTCCCAGACACTGGTCTAGGATAATCTCAGTCTCGGACACCAGGTCCTTGAAACCTAAGTGGTAAGTAGTTCTTGCAACACAGAGATATGGTCAGTTAAGAAGCAGCTTGCAATACAGTAGTTGTTCTTTCTGAAGCATGGAGAGAGTGGACTGATTCCCAGAAAAGTCTGGCACTCCAAGGCTCAGTGCTTGGAGAACAAAGCAAAGGAATGAGATTGGTTTTGGAGTCTGCAAGTTTACCTGCTGCCTGCATAACCTGAACTTTCCCAGGCTCACTTCCTCATGATCCTTAGATCAACATTCTACTTGCTCCATGCCTACCCCAATCAGTGCACATCAGCACAGACTCTAGGTAAAAGGAAGAGCAAGAGACAAGCTGGGCCTTGATAAAACGTATCTCCACCCCACGCTTTTACCTGCCATAGTTTGTGAACAATGGACTACACTTTGGAAAAAAGACAATCCTTATATTTAGAATCTCTTAGTGGTAAAAATCATGGCATTGATTTTCAATCACCCCACACCTTTTTTCATCACGTACACCTCGGCAGAGTGAGTGGAGAATTCCAATTTGCAAACATTAAAACTTGGCAGTGGTGTCAATGACAATACAAGTTGCAAGGCAGCAGAGAACAAAGCCTCAGAAGTCCCTCAACAATGACAAGACGTGCTCTCCCCTCTTTGGAAAAAAATAATTTAAAAAATTGAGCTTACCTGGGGTTTGAGAGAGGAACTGATATAACATGCAGGCCAGTGGAATTATGGTTATCAAACAGTTATCTCCATTAGTCTCAATGAAGTCATGCCTCGTTATTGCTGTTGGATCAATATGATGCTCTCTAAATGGTCTGATAAATGCCTGTTGGTAGAAAAAACAAGAATAATGTTAATTATGTTTTCCATGGTCCCACAGACTTTTCCCCAAGTTTGTGTGTTCAGTGTGTTTCCCACCAATATGAAAAATCTTGAATTTAACAGAGGTCACTAAAAGTGTGATCTTATCAAGCAACCTAGCATGAAAGCATTAAAAAAAAGCATAATCATCACCAGAACTCAAATTGTTCATAGTGTAGAGGCCTCAGGAAGCCCAAGGACTGTGACTGGGTAACAGTGCAGGACATTTTCCTAGTTTGCATACCCATCCAGAACCAGCCACAAGCTAGCCAAGAGAACAAGGAACCCTTTTAGTGTTATAACCAACACCGTAAATGAAGCAGATGCTATGTCAAATACAGCAAACAGTGGTATATAAGTAGGCAGTGGTAGAACCAGTCTAAAGAACAAAACAGGTCAGTTTTAAAAGACCAGTTCTAATTGTTGGGTCCATAATTAATGTCTGTGAAGAAAAATAGTAACTACAGTTAAGCAGGTAAAAATGCTACCCATGGAAAACGAGTCACAAGTTACCAATGGTGTAACACTGAAATGGCATGTGTGTGCAGAACATGTATGAATTCCCAAAGGGTTGGCTGTTGGGCTGATATCAAAATAAATATTTTGGATGACATCACAAATCTTCAAGTGACACAAAGTTACAAGTTACAAAAATCACAGACGTTAGTGCTTTTGTTTGGATGTAAATGCTAGCATTCCTGTATGAGAGTTAGGTGTTGTTATTACTGAACAAGAACACCCTGATGACCATTTGCTATTGGAGCAATGCCTTGTGACCATTTAACATCCCAAATTTCCACATGGATGTATTCTGTTCAAGACACTGACACATCCAATGTCTGGAATGAAAACAAATATGGGATATTATTAATTGACGAGGCTGCAAGAACTTAATCTACACTGCTACTGTTACAGGAATTCCCTATAACCACAGAACTGAAACTAACATTTAGAAAAAACGTTTGCTTTGACAACTGATTGTGTTTTTGTAATTATATCAATCCACATGCTAGATTAGCTGCTTGTAGGTTCATTTTTCTTACTTCAGCAAACTAAGAAAGTAAAATTGTGGAATAAAAACAACCATTTAAAAATACACCGTAAAAATTATTTTGGATCCCAGTTCCACAAAGGAAATTCTTATACAACTGTGTAAATGACAACAGGAGTTTTACAATTCAGAACAGAGAGTTCCCCCTAGAAAGACTTTCAAAAACTTATTTTTCTTAATAAAATATGTCATAGGATTACAACTCAAATTTTCACAATGAATGGCATAATTTAATGTTCAGAATAAGCAAATTAAAGTAAGCCAAACTCCACAAAAAAACCTAAGGTTTACTTAAAACAATTGCAAAGAATTTTAGAGTCTTCACAATTACAGCTTTTGCATTTGAATTTTCAGACCAAATGACTTAATATCACACTATCTACAGCTACAAGATTTTAGATTCTGTGCGTATATGGATATTGACTGAGACTATGGAACAAAAAGAGAGGAATTTATTGGAGAAAATATAAGAAAGAAAAATTCTGGTACAGAAACTATAATATTAAAAAACAAGTTAACCAAACCAGAATTAGTACAATTCAAAGCAAAGTGTATTTCCAACATAAACTTGACCTGCAACTACATTACCTAGGCCTTGTCTACACTGGCAGCATAATGCAGGTTATGTATAGCTATGCTTTACAGAAGGCTGCAACCTTACTGCAGTATGCAGTTGGGGAGAGGTATCTCGAACAAGCTCTGGCAGTTCCCAGCTGTGAAGCCTTTCCCTGTGGCGGGAAAAGGCTCTAGCAGCAGGATGCTACATTCTAAAAATAACCATGCAGACAGGAGAGGCACTGCTGACTGTAGAGAGCCATATTCAACACATACCCTAAGATTCTTAGCTCTGCCCACCTAGCAGTGTGGATGGGGCTTATTTATACCCACGCTTGGAGGGCGCACAGTCTGTATTCTTCATACCACCATAACTGTAGACGTAACCTCAGCCAGCTACAGAACATCAATATATCTCATTGTATTGATGCCCATGAAAAAAAGACACACTAATATCTTCATATTAATTCTCCTTGTCTAGCAAACACCTAGTACACGTTTGAGGCTGACTAGTGAACAAATAACCACCAACGGAAGGCTGTCCTAATAAAGGTGAGTTAATATGTGCTCCAAGTACCTAACTGTACCTTGAATCAGTTTTCCCAGAAAGTATTGTAAGTTTCCTCTAATTGTTGCTAATCATTCAATTTATTTTAATTGCTATATATTTTTTAAAACCTCTTAGACTCTTGTACACAAAATATAAAATAGATTTGTGTGACAGTCATTGTCATCAAGTTAATTCTGTGTACCGACTTCTCCCAAAGTAACTTGTTTTCATTACTAGCAGACTCTAAAAGAAAAATGGCAGGTGAACAAATGCAGCTTATTACTTTTTAATACCCTGATCTAGCAACTGGTGGCACGCATGCACAGCTGTGTGCCTACATGGAACCCGCCAGTTGCAACAGAACTCAGAGAAACATAGCTGCAGTCAATTGCAAGATCAGGGTCTTAGCTTGTAGGAAAAAATTCTAATGGGATGAAAGACAATTTTTACATTTTAATGACAAATTTATCATCTCATAGCAAATGTATTTCTTGTATCAACTTTTCAGGACACAAAAGGGAATTTCAAAACTGCTATGTATCCTTACAAGATGGAACATGACTTCAGAAAAAAGAAAATGATCCCAAGAACCTTGAAAGAAGGAAATACCACTGATTTAAAGATGACTTATGGAATATGTTGTAAAATTTCTCAGGAGAAAGAGAATCAAAGCTGCTTTTCCCCCCTATGAAAAAGGATGAAAACCAGGCATTCATCAAAATGGGCTGCTGAAAGAAAGAAAAAGCAAGCTAGAAAGAAACCCTGTAACATATAAAAGATTGCAAACATTGCTGAACATCAGAAATATCATCAAATGTATAGTTCAGCACAAATAACACACATATATATGCATAAGGATAAAAGCAAATGGAAAGGAATAGCTCCATGTTGAGGTTCTTTCATGGAAGTGGGACTGCACACATGTCCAACTATAAGAGACAAATCCCATGCTTTCATACCAAATGGGAGCACTGCACATGTAAGGAGCTACTTGCTTTCAGGAGGATCTAAGAGAAGAATTTTACATGGTATTTCAATCATCTGTATCCACAAATGCTTGCAAAGGGATTCTATAAATGGTGGAACTCCATGATGAACTGAAAATATCATCAAGCGGCAAAAAGTGACTTGTTAAGTAGCACCATAGTTACCAGCTCATTAACATACAAGATAATGAATATTACTTGCACAAAGAATATTTTATATTATTTAAGAATACTATATGAAAGAAAGGTACATAATTTCACAACACGCATTCTGATACTAAGCATTGTTCCATGTAAAATAAAACATGATGTATATCTGACCAGTTACCAAATTCTAATCTACATGTATCCAGATGATGCAAAAGGTCACTTTAAGACGGAAGGCCAAGGTGAACATTGTGCTGAGTTTGACAAAGCACTGTTTGCCCACAGACTGGTGTGAGGGCATGAGAGAGAGGAGGGAAAATCTCCAACCTTGGATCTGAGGTGGGGCAGAAGCAGCACTCCATCATAAAACCTCCTCAGCTTAATCTCCCTTTTCTTCCTGGACCTGCTTTAAGGTTAAACAGAAAAACTGAACTTCTGTGTAACACGTGTTTCTCCTAGACAACGAACAAAGCTGGAATGTCAGTCAGAACACCAGTGATCCTGGCGTATCCCCCTGTGAGGAGGGAGCACCTCCAAGAAGAAAAGGTGGGGAGGAGGAATCAAGATGACAAGGCACAATCCTCCTACAAAACCCAACAAATTAAACTACACACCTGAGCCTCTTTAATCTGGCAACCCTGGGAAACAGGGTTTGATGGATTAAAGATTTTGCCAGGCCAGGGAGGGCGTGACGGGGATGAGAGTAAGGCACTTACCTGGTACTCCATGCCCTCTGCTGCTATGGAAGCAATGGGGAAAAGCCTCTGGCTGAGCACGTCATCGCACTGCCGTTTCCCCAGATGGCAGTGGCACACAGAGCTGCTTCTGCCAGCCAATGGCCGTACTACAGGTGTTCCCAAATCAGGGACACCCAGGGTACATAGGCTGTAGTGTACAAAACATGAAAGTAATAAAACTAACAACTAAATAAAGACTAGTTGAAGCAAGCTTGACTGATTGAAGTGGGCATGCTGAATGCACCGTCTCAGGCCAAGGTGGTTAAGAAGGAATGGAAGGTGATTCATCCAGGCAGCTCTATCTAGCCTTATGTATAACACAAGAATTTGTAGAGTGAATGAATGCACCAAATAGGCACTACTACCAAAAATCTCCAATTGAAAGCATATACACATACTTGACATGGAGCATCCACAGGAACACAACTCAAAGAACTGTAACTTTTGGAAACTGTGTCCCTTTCTGGTAACTCATGCTTTGAAAACATAAGACAGTTTAGCATGGGGCCTAGAAAGATCTTACATTACTAAGAAATTATGGCATTAAGAGGTTGTGTTATCTGGTGCATAAGAAGCAAGGAATTTCTCAAAGAACTTAAAAAAAAAAAACAACAAAAACCTAGAACATTTAAGTGGAGAAAGGTGTCGATTTTCTTTCCTGGTATAGCTAGCAGGGTGGCAGCACTTCTTGCTCTAGCAAATGTCTGTATTCATTATGCTCAGGAAGAACAGAAATCAATCTGAGAAAAAGAGAATGAAAAGTATTCAATTAAGCACCAGTCACCATGAAAGAGCACATTTTGAAAAGATTGCTTTAATACAAGAGCAATTATGCTGATATGCAGAGCCCTGCACGGTTACAAAAATGTGGATCTTCATCCGATCCACATCCGCCAGGCTCAGTTCATCATCCAATCCACAGCCCACAATCTGGATTTT